ATATTTTTTAGCTATACTATTTACCTAATCAAAAGACTGTTAATATATAATGTATACTGGTCAAAATCAAAAATATCTTTTTTATATCTTCAAATAATTGGTCTAGATAATAGAAAACCAATAGGCTGTTGGCTATAAACAGATTGGATAGAAAAAAACAAGCTGATAGGCTGAATATTTTAGAAAAATATGTTATATATCAGTTAAGTTTATCAAAAAATTATACAAATATCATTATGACGATACAGATCAAAATCAAAAATATTATAATAGTACTATATTATAATCATTTAGAGTAATAGCAGGCTGATATGTTATTGACTATGAACTAATTGATCGAGTATAACAAAAGCTGATAGATTGATGATTTGAGTAAAATATGTTGTATATTGGTCTGATAATTAAAAAAAATCTAAATATCAATAAGAAGATTAGTAGAAAATATTAGACAAATATTTAAATTATTATTTGGATAATATTTGATCAATATTTAAAAAAATATTTGGCTGATATTTAAAAAATATTTAGCTAGCTTTATAGTCAGTAGAAATATCGATATAATATTATCTTAGATAATAGAGATCGATAAGTATTGATTATAAAAAAATAATTTTAGATTAATTGTCTATCAGCCAAATATTATATACTAGTCAACTAGATAATATTAGATTAATAGATTGCTAGTTTTATAATTAGTAGAATATCGGTCTAATATTATCAAAGTATTAATTCTAAAAATTAGTTTAAGTTAGTTTTTATAGTCAGTAGTTTATCAGTCTAATATCAATCTAAATAATAGCAGGCAGATATATATTAGTTGTAAAAAAATTTGATTTAAGTTAATAGTCTATCGGCCTAATATTATATACTAATTATCTAAAATAATAATAAACTAATATATTACTGATTTTTATAATTAGTAGCTTATCGAACTAATATCGTCATAGATGATTAGTAAAATAATTTGATTTAATTAGTTTCATTTTGCACTTTTTTTTACTTTTTCTTTATTATTTTTCTTCTTTTGTTTTTTATACATAGTTATATTTTTGCTTATATCATTATTTTTATCTTCTTTATTTTTACTTTTATCTTTACTTTATTTTTATCTTTTTGTTTTATATATTTGTAAATTTTCTTTTTCTAAAATTGATATTTTATATTTAGTATAAATATTTATTTAAAAATGTTTTTAATGAGAATTAAACTCTGTATCTTACCTATAAATTGTTTCAAGAATAACAACTTTACCACTTCACTATTTTATTATACTTCTTAAATATTTTTATTTTAAGCATATTAAATAGCAAATAAAATTTTTAAATTTTATATATGGGGTCTTTCATATTAAAAGGGCCCATTTTGACAATTTTTCAAATTTTATTTTATTTGATTTTTGAATAGATATTTATTCAATAAACAATTTTGCCATAAGTTACAATAATGAATTACATAATAAAAAAATCCATAAAATCAAAAAACTTGTTATGCTAAAGAAATTTAAAAATAGTGCAGATCGATTTAGATCGATTTCTAGATCAAAAGGAATGTTCTGAAATGAAGATCGGTTTGTTTAAATTCTAGCACTAGATAGTTTAAAACTACTATATCGCTAATGCTAATAACACAAAAAAATAAATGTTTTGTAAATTCTAATGGATTGGGTTCATAACTACCAGTATTGGGAGTCATAAACCTAATTCGCCCATTTACTAGGGGAGTCATAAACCTAATCCACTAGAATTTAAAAAACAAGTTGAGTTCAAAATTAACAGTAAAGATCTTTTTTATATTTTATTGATTTGGGTTCATAATGAAGCTTTTTTTTTGACTCTAGCCTTGGGGTAAACTACTAGTAATTAAAGGCTATCAGTAACAAAGAGCTTGGCTACAAACTGCTAGTAAAGATCTTTTTTTAAAATTCTGCTAGATTGGATTCATAACTATAAGTAACGAAGGTCTTCTTTAGGTTAGAGCCTTGAGTTCAAACTACCAGTAACAAAAGGGTAGGTTCAAACTACCAGTAATGAAGGGTTCAAAATTATCAGTAAAGATCTTTTTTTAAAAAATATTCTATTGGATTGGGTTAGTAATGAAGGTTTACTTTATTCTAGTCTTGGGCTCAAAACTACCAGTAATGAAGGGTGGGTTCAAAAAACTACCAGTAACGAAGGGTGGTTCAAAACTACCAGTAATGAAGGGTGGGTTCAAAACTACCAGTAATGAAGGGTGGGCTCAAAACTACCAGTAACAAAGGGTGTATTCAAAACTACTAGTAACAAAGGGTAGATCAAAACTACCAGTAACGAAGAGTAAATTCAAAACTACCAATAAAGATTTTTTTTTTCAAATTCTACTGAATTAAGTTCAAAATTACTATAATAAAGGTCTTCTCTGGATTCAAACTACCAGTAACGAAGAATTGGGTTCAATACTAGTATAGATTTTTTTTTTTTTTTTTTTTTTTTTTAGTTATTAAGGCCGATGTTACGGAGCTTACTGCCTTTATTTGTGTTTTTAG